TAGTTATTTTTATTAAACTTAACAAAATAAAGAAAGAATAAAAAAAAGACAAAGAAAAAATTTAGTCATCTTTTTCGTTGATGCTAATCTATTTAGCAATAAATCAAATTCAATCTTGCGAAAAACAATCCCTTCAGCTTCTCAATTTTGGAGACAATTTTTTCACTGAACAAATTTCAAACATAGAAGATCAAATCAAGTCTCTTTTCCTAAACATATTCACTCTATATTTTCTCACCCGATCTCAACCCTTAGTGAAGAAGAAGGATCAGCACCATCGATATAAACGACGTCCTAGATCTTTACTGAAATCAAAGGATGCTGATGTTTGTTGATTATCATTGTTCAATTAGCTAGGTTAATTAGATAATTTCAAGAACAATTGAAGAAGATGAAACAAAAAAAATGAAGCGAAAAGGAGAAAAAAGATGGACAGATAACACATGATAAGCTTTCATTTGTTCTCTTTTCCTATTATATCAAAAACAAAATATAAAATAACATATAGTTTATTATCTAAAACGGTGTGTTTTACTTTGTGTCATCGATATAACGTCAGTTTAACAGAGAGATTATATTGCGGGTGACTTTAGAGGTTATAGGATTAACTTGCATTTTTTCAGGTAAGGATTTATTTTCAAAATTAATTTATTTTGAAGGTTTTTTTTGCAGTAATCCCTATTATTAAACAAACAGATTATAATATAAATATTATTATTATATGATATCAAAATATAACAAATCCGTGCAACGTGCGGACTTCTCCTAATTTATATTATAGATTAAGTAATAATTTATAGATCAGTACTTAATGCCCTTACATATTCGAGTTAATTGGTTAATATTTATTAATTGATGCTTTGGAAATTGTTATTGATGAACTACGTTACAAATATATAGGGTGCAAATGGTTGTTAGGATAGAGGAACAAAACTGGAGGAAAACATCAATTACTCTCAATTCCTCTAAATATTCACCATTTATCATTCAATTGCATTCTTCTAACTTATGATTGGTCCCATACAAAAAGGAAAAAATAACACTTGTTCATCTGGAATTTAGTACTCTGCAAAATACAAGAGGAATGAGTTGAAAAAAATCAGTGAAAAACATATTATTTTACTCCTTTTTTTTCCACTAATAATTATTCCTCTAATTCCTCTCACTTACAACCATTTGCAGCCATTGAGGCGGGACGCGGGGCAGGGAAGTTGGTCGTGCATTTTTTTTAAGTTCAGTCATAATCTAAGATGAACTCACAACCTTTACAAAAAATAGAACATGAAATCATAACCTTATTTTTTTTAAACTGACGGTTAATTTTCAATTTTTTTCCTTTAGTTGATTGGTAATTTTTTTTCTTTTTCTAAAAGGACTCAAAGTTCAAAACAGATATAACAGTTTTGTTGATTTTAAAATATATATAGCCTAGATTTAGTTATTTAGAGATTGCTTTCATAAACTGTAATTAAAAAAATTCTAGAAACTGACTTGCGTAACTTATTGGGTTTGAATGGTATGCAGCTTTTTCACGTTTTCACGTTTTGGAAACTTGATTCTGTTATTTTTTACCATTCATGTTATTCATCACGTTTTCACGTTTTTTTATGTTTTTGAAACGTGATTCCGCTAGCGTGTTAAAAATATAACTAAAAAAAACAAAACGTGATTAATCTACTAAAAGTAGCTTTTCAGCGTTTCACAATTATTCAGCTAAAATATTATTCAGTTCAGTTCATTCCGCTAATAATTTTTCAGTTATTCTGCTATTCTGTTATTCATCTGACATACCAGTCAGACCCATTATAAAAGTGGATGTGTCAAAATTGTTAATTAACACAATCGTGATATATGAGAAATTAATCAAAAAAAAAAATTTAACACATGTCATAATTAAAATATATTATAAAAAAACATTATCAATCCTTAAAAGAAGAGAAAATACTACTACAATTTTATTTTAGTTTTTTTATTATATTGATGTAGAAAATTTCAACAATTTGATCTTTAAAACACAATTTATGTTGGAAATTTTTGATGTTATACTGTAATAGAAAATCATAAACTAAATAATTTGTTTTTCATAAATAGAAGTTAATGTAGAATTTTAAAAGAGTAAAAAATTTCTAAATATGATCAGCAAAATCTTAGTATGAAACATGATTTTAGAAATATTTTTTAAAAATAACTATTTAAGAATATGTACTAGAATTTAAATAAAAAAATATTATTTATGAATGATTTTGCGTTAGTATTCAAGATTATTATTTTTATCTACGCAAGCAAGTGATCTAATATTAATTTCTACTTCTTTTTTTTAGTTTTCTTTTAATTTATTATAAAATAGTAAATTATAAAACAGAGTATGAGATGATAACTTCGATTTACATGATCGTGATTCATGTGAGTTAGTCGATGTGATTTTGAATTTTGACGTGTAATAAATTTTTCAATGAAAATAAAATCAAATATTGTAAAATAAAGAATTTTGTGAGTTACATTTGCAATTGACTTTAATTCTTGAGTTATTTTTACAAATATCTCATAAATCTAATTATAATAAAAAATAATAATTAATTCGTCAAAATTTTAGGATAAAAAATATATATATAGAAATAGCTAAATCAAAATAAATAAACATAATTCAAATAAAAATATTAAAACATGTATATTTGGAAGTACATTGATACGATTCAATTACAAAATAGGATAAAAATAAATAAATAAATAAATTTTATATTGTTTTGTATGTTTTGCTTTGATGTTTTTAATATAATTTTTTTTTTATGATTTATCTGATTTTATTTTTAATTTATTTTTACGGATTTCAAAAAAAAAATTAAAAAAATCTGCCTATATACAGATCCTATTCTAGGTACCCATAAAACAGAAAACCTTGAAATTGTTATCAGTCCAAAAGCCTTAGCAAAAAATATCTCAATCTAATAGTTATTCAGATATTTGATTGGTCGTAAGTAAACATACACAACAACATAAATAAAATAAAATGAAAATCCATTTAATTATCAAATTTTTAATATTTTAATATTCACTTTTATCCATTATCTCACTGCAATGGTTCTTACTTATAGTAGTTTGAGAACTTGTGTAATTTCCTCAGTTTCAAATTTTCAGTTATCTAGAATCTTTTAATTTGAAATATTCTGTAATTTATTTTTTTTCTTTCCTGTCAATAAATGTTTGATCCTTGTAGTTAAGCTGAGTAACAACCTTAGGGTGAACTCAGTTTGATATCAATGAATATTCATGTTGTCGTTGTTTTTTAAGATCAACTTTGATAATATTATATTTTCCTCTTTAATCGATGTACACATTTTTCATTTCCATATCTAACTATACAATTTATTGTGTTTTTTTTAGTAGCTCTTTATTCAAAATGCCAAAATTTGTTTGACAGAAATTAACCTCTATAAACCAGGTTGACTTTTTTACAAGGTATATGTGCTTTCAAAATTGTTCATGATCAAGGTACAAACCTTGTTCAAATGTTCTCATATGATGACATTATTGTAGTTTTTAGCATCTAAAAATGTTGAATGAATTCGATTAATAGTAGTAAGTAACTTATATCTATCTTTTCTATAATTTATTTATCTAGGTAACATATACAATATTAATTAAAAATCAGTTAACTGATTTTTATTTTATTTTAAATTTTGTCTAAAACCAAACCATAGTTAATTACTTTTGTTTCTTTTTACTACAATTTTCTTTCTAAAGTCAAATCACACCAAACAAATATATAATTTAATCAATGATATTTTTACTACAATTCAAAAACTCAAAACCCAATTTGATAAGTTGCAGAAATTCGGAAAATCTAGTTCAATAATGAGAGGAACTGAGTTGTTGGCAACTCGTAACACCTAGCCACTAAATGCTTACGGGATGGAGGCCATATAAGTATGAAAAATCATGTTTCAGGCAATGATATTGTGAAGCCCTGTATTTATACATGGGTGTGAAAAAAAAAAGAATTTTATTTATTTTTCAGATTCGTATATATAAATTTGTAAATGTGTGACATCCTAAAGGGACAAAAGACAGCACATCTAGACTGATGTACGTATCTCTCTTCCTCCTCTACTTTTATGTCCACTTTCTATCTTTAGTTCTGTAGTTTTATTACTTAAATAGAATTTTTTGTGTTTATTTTCATTTCTAGGTTTGTTTGTTGTACAAATTATTTATTAGAGAAAGTCTGAAAGATCAACAAATTTAAGGACAGAGAAAAAGGAATGATCTTTCTATTCTTAACATAGTATAAAATTCAAACTTATTTAGCTATATTGAAGCCTCCACCAAAAGAAAATATGAATCTTAAATGTTATGTGGAAACACATTATACATAATATCATCGATATAAAAGAAAGATTTTCTTAGTGGAAATTTTTGCCACATTCTTTAAAACTAGTGTATACAATTCTCAACTTTATAATAATAAGTTAGATATGTAGTTGTTTTAACTATACTCTTAGTCTTGGTTTCCTACACTTAAATCATGTTTTGTTGTTACCAGTGATATAACTGATCAAATCATGTTCGTTCTACAGCTTTTAGTTTAACAAATGTTTCAATTTCAACAATAGAATTTTAATTTAAAACATTGAAAATTTTGTTCGTTAATCTGAAACGTTTTGCCGAATTGTATCGTTGAATCGACTATAATAAAACAAACATAATCTGGTTATTGTTGTTAGTCATTGGTCGCTAACAACAATACAACGTGTCAATGACGCCAACAACAACAAAACAAACGACCCTCTTTAATATGTTGAACAACAAAAATAAAAATACAAAATACGCATAGAGGTAATAATTTCAATTTCTATGTATTATTCAGACCGATTCTTTTCTTCTTTCGTCAAAATCATAACATTATACATCGACTACCTAAAACCATATAGGTTCAAAATACGCAAATACATTAAAAAAAAAATAGGACTTCAAGAAACAAAATCATAATTTATATATAAACATTATAAAACAAAATCTTCCTTCGTCTGATCAGAAGAACCATAGATCTTGATTAGCTTTTGCAACACCACGACTTGATTCCTAAGCCGTACGATGTAATCAGCCGTTTCTTGAAACAGCTGCTCCGTCTCTCCAGTGTCGGATTCCTCCTCCACCTGACCTTTCTGCTCCGTCGTTGACGGTGGAAGAAGACTCTTAAGCGCCTGAAGCTTTTCGGAGAACTTTTCTCCTCCGTTTCCACAGCAACGTGATGAAACATGTTTTCTTCTGTTTTCGAGTTTCTTAATGTTTCCTCTTCTTCCTCCTCTGGATCTTTGGGTCTTTATGATTCTCATCGTGAAGAAGAACAGAGAACTATAATAGAGTTTTCGGTTTTATTTTGGTTTTAGTATATAATTTTTTTTAACAGAAAAAGAAAGAGAGTCGCGGGGTTTATGTACGATTGGCTATTCGTTAATGACCCTGGAACTGATAGTTTACTACGATATTACCACTTGTGGTGCTTTCATTCCTTTGTTTGTCGTTTTGTGCTTTTTTTTTGGGCCCTAATGAATTATGATTTTAAGAAAATTAAATTTTCGATAATATCTTACTATCACGTGAACGTTGCCAAATATCTCAAGAGCAAAATCGTAAAACTAATTTCATTCATTGCGAATCGTAAACTAATTTCATTCGTAATCGTTAATCGTAAGCATATTAGTCCATCCCATGATTCTCATCCGCTGCATTGCTCAAAAACTCTTGAAGCAGAGATTTCTATATTTTTATTTTAAAATAAGTTAAGTTTGTGTATTAGATAGATTTCCTTTATGCACATATTGTCTTTAGGTATATTTCCTTTTAATCTTTTTTTTTGAACATTATTTTCTTTTAATATTTCTCTTTGTAGTGTTAAAAAAAAACTTTCTATTTGTATAAGTACATAACTTTATTCATGAATAATAATAACACAAGCAATTTCGTTTTATGATCGGATAATTGAAAACTAAGTCACTCTTTGTATAATAAGTAATATTAACTTAAACAAAAATATATATTTTTATTAAAATATAAAAACCGTGATTTAAAAAATATGTTCATGAGCTACTTAAGTTTTTTTTTTTTAATTTTAACGTATGATTGACATGAAACATATTCAGCATATTCAGAGATTTTTTTGTTTTTGTTTTTGTTTTTGGTCATCAAGATTAAAACATTTTCATGCAAAAGATATAAAGATATTTTAGATGCAATACTTGTACATATATTGAACTTGGCAATTGAACAACTACAGAATGAAAAAAATAACAAACAAAAAATTAATAAAAGAGCACTTGTTCCACAAATTGCTATTTTACTATTTTCCAACTGTTATTGCCCCAAAATAAATTAAATTTCAATACACATTTCGAACTCCATATTCAATTATGATATTGTTACAATCGTTATTATAGAACTTTTATTTGCTTGAGTCGTTCATAATTCTTTGAAGGGCAAGCCTAAAAGGCTAAAACATTAGGTTCCAAATTATGCGAATGTTTTGAGTTGTACGAATACCGACAACACTGACATGTGATGAGAAGGGTAAATCTGTAATTTGTAATACGTGAGAAACCGGTTAAGTAGCAAAGAGAGGAAGTGGGTGAAGAGTGCGCATTCGCCATATGACAGTAAAAGCCTGAGCCTTCTGTGACGGCACATGATAAGTGTTTGGGCCAAACATTATTTTTCCTTTGTTTCCTATATTGCCCCACCATAGTTATCAATAATTCATTTTAATTACACATACGTAAGAAAGTTGTTTAATTTTTCAATTTGAATAATTAGATGTTTCAGACAGTTTCATTTGACCAAATAAATGTTTTCGTTTGATTTCTTTGTTGGACCCCTTTTTTGTTTTGTCAAGGTTGGACCCTTTTTTCTCTTTATAAACTTTGTTTTACTCTTTAATTTACGAACATGGGTGATATACTCATGTCTTTTTCATTATATTAAATGACAAAATATCTTACGAGAATGCTTCAAACTGATATTTCGAGTTGGATATTTTTATTTTATGTTTAATAAGCACATAAATAGAAATATTTTGTTTTCCTATTTATTGTATACAATTATAATTTTATTGATCCAAAATAGTAGTAGCAAATTTTACATTTTAAATGGCAAAGCAATCACTCAAAACAAAAGAGACTTAAAATATGACCCAAACAAAAAAAATACCAAAAACTAGTGTTTCATGGTGGTGGTGGATACGCAAATTACCGAGTTAATTATCTTGTTTTTGTATACGACTTTAGATATAGTTTAATTTAGATCTGATATTTGGAATGAAATATGTGGAATTTATCATTCTGGAATTTTAAATTTACAGTGAATACACCTGAAAGGAAGTTTCACCCATTCCACCTAAGAATTTATTAACAACTTTTCTAAATGGAAAATTGTCCTTCTACTATATATTCAAGATCTATCATTTTCATCTCATTCATCTTTATTTCACTAGTGACTTTGATGCTTTCCATTTAAACCGTTAGTTTCAGTGTGAAGTTGGGGTAGAAATTAAAACGTTCTTCTACTAAAACTCAAATGAGGTCGATTAGTTTTTTTTAAATATTACTTCAATTGGTTACGAGGGTCAATATAAAGTCATTACCTATTAATATTCACATTGCGCGGTTTAAGTTTAATCTCAAAGAAGGCCTCACATATGAATCTTGCCTTAGGTTTTCTACTCACATTATTTTTAGTAAAATTCAGTAATTCCAGGAATTGAGTATCCGCTGATCCTCAAGATATATAATGTTACTCGGGAGGGGCATATTGGTCAACTAAGGGAGAGCTAAGAGTATTAAAATGTGCTTTGTAGAGAGGTGTTACATGTGAAGGTGTTATGAGCCAGCAAAACCTCATTGGACAGACAAGAAAAATTTGAATAACAGAAGAAAAGAAAAGTAAAACTTAATTTGTAATATGCGAACCGGGAAACTGAACCGGAAATGGGTTGATTAAAGGGAGATAGAAAAGGGCATGTGAAGGCACATGGGAGAAGAGAAAGGAAAGGAGACAGAGAAGGAAGCATGGAAGTGAACAGAGAGCATGTTCTGTATATTCCCTGCATACACATAACTTCATGTTCTTTTTCTTGCCAAAAAAATAAGAACATTATATAATTAACATGGTTTTAGATTGGATAAATTTGATAACTAAAGGGAATTGGGGATTTTCTTTTTATAATTTCGATTTGGTGCACATGGTTTACTATCTAGATTTCGGGTTAATAGCATGTGTTTAGCTGTTCCTCCACGTGATTGATTTGTGTGATTGTGTACATTATCTTCTTTTTTCTTTTCTTATTGTGTACATTGATCAACAAGTATCCTGTTTTTTATTCTAATAAATTTTTTTTATTGATTTAGCATCGGATATCCGTATTTTCCAAAGGCGATAATTATTGATTAAACTTTATGAATGTTTTGGTAATATATATAATACACAATAATAATGCAATGTTCTTAATATTTTTGATTTATTTTCGGATATCCCTATTTTGCCAAAAAGAAATATTACTGCTTAGCATCGGCTATCTCAATTTTTCCAGATCGTTTGAATTACTAATATAGAAGAGAAAAATGCAATGTTTCTAGTATTAGTTTTCTTGTCACATTATATGTAGTTGATTTAATTAATCATATTATAAACAAAAAAGTTATTGCTCAACGTGCTCATACATGTTTTACATCTGTATTTGATTTAAAGTGTCGACATTCCGTAGTGAACTGGAAAAATACAAAAACTGAATCAAATTTTAATTTGTATTTATTTAATTTATTACATACACACAACGATATAACAAGCCTTATATATTCTTAGAAAAGTAGATAAGTTTTGTAACTTTATAAAGCAAACTATACTGAATTGTATATATTTTAACTGAACTGCATTACCTAGATTCATTTTTAAATATATCTTCAACCAAAACATGTACAAGTATACATGTGTTAATAAGGACGTAAGAGAATAAAAGTTTTTGGCTTTTATTTTGTTTGTTTGATGAAAGTGGAAGTGAGGGACAATATGATATAGGGCAGGGACAATGTATATTATCATTTTCTTTGGTCATGAATAAGTAAAATAAAGTTACAAAAAAAATTAGATGTTGACGAGACATCTTTTCATTCCCCTTGTGTTTCTTTTCTTACTCGACATTTTGTAATGCAAATCGAAATTAAAAAGCATTCGATTATGGGACTAGAGTGCCCTATATTTTATAAGTGTCTTTGAACACCACCACGTTGTTTTACATTTAACCAGTGAAACATTGCACAAAAAGGGAAAAAAATATACTATATCATTGACCCACGTGATATTAACATATTAATGAAGGGATTTTGGACACTACGTCGACCATTTATGTTATGTAAAGGTATAAATGAATTCTTTTATAAATGTAATAGGATGTTTTGAGTTTAAAACTGTCATGTTGATGCAATATCTTGATATCTGTACTCAGTAAGAATGATATTGGCATCAACTAATACAACCGAAAAAGGACTAATTAATAAAACCTTATTACTAGACATAATTGTTAATTAATAAAAAAAGAAAAAATTAAGTTAATTTTTTGTAAGAAGATTTTGAGTTTTGGGCCTTCGACCTATAATTTTCCTTAGTATCTGTAAATAATTTTTAGAAATTTCAGAAAAAACTCTTCGTACTAAATGAAGTTTGAACCGAGAAAGTACAAAAAACTAATCTTTTAACTACCACTAGATTACCCCACTTTTGATAACATAAATTATTTTTTAACCGAGCGATTCAAAACAATAAGAATAATATAATAGTTATCATAATCAAGCATGAATCCAAACAAGCAAACTTTGAACTTGAAGATTCCAAATATGTTAAACTTCTTAGGATCGTATTCCAAAGAAAACCCAGAGTAGTTTACTAGAATTGCAATAGTGTTTCTTACATATCTCAACTTTTTGATTTTTACATTCTTTATTATTCTATCATTCTTTTTACAAATTTTTAAAGTTGATAAGTCACAATATATTCTTTTTTTGACAAATGTTGAGATCTTTCAGACTATTGCTAGGAAACTAACTAATTTTTCAACATATATATATAATATATATATATATATATATATATATATTTCTTTTAGTTTTGAAAAAAAAGATTTATATTTTACATTCATATATATTTAAGATCCTCTCTATTTTTCCGAAATATCTACTTTCCGTTTTAGTCAAAAAAATAATATATACTTTCCATGTAATGTAAATTTTTTTTCTCCCATCTCATACCTTTAACTTTATATAATAAGATGTTTTCTTTTCACAAATATCACAAGGAGAAAGGAAAAACAGAATATAGAGGTTTTGGTGGGGAAATAAGGTACCCTAAGACTAAACACAAGGGGTAAGCTGTTGAGTCACTGAATAGTCACTACTGATCCCACACTCTGACCTCCTTGCTCTTGTCTCCCATGCTCTTCACTATTTGTCCTCTTTTCACGTTTATCAATTGTTTTTATTCAGTTTGATATATATTCTCATAAATTGTCAATCTCAAAACAGAAAACAATTCGACCTAATCAATAATGTATTGTACGTAGTTCTCAATATAAGCAATTCATATCTTCATTCGTAAAATTAGAATGTGAAATACTAAAATGATTTTTTGTTTTGTTTACAGATTAATATTTGTTATGCAATTCAAATTATTATCGTAACCATAATTGCAAACTAAATCTTAAATTTTAGAGATCCTCCTCAAGTTATGGCACCATAAATCTTAAATGATTGATGATTCGATCGTTCGTTGAGTCTAATTTATTTTCGTTCGATTCAACTTAATCTACCATATTCTTTTGCATGTTTTCCTTTAATTTGATGCTCCCCCACCAGCGGTCGATTTCACGTTCTTATGCATGAGTTTGAATATCAGATTGATGGTAGTTGTATTTACAGTGCCGTGCAAATGATTTCAGAGACCTAATGCTAAATTTACAAATGTGACCTTTTAGTTTAGTTTATAAAAAAATCAAGAAACAAAATATAACCTAAGTTTTATAGAAAAAAAGAAGAACATTACCGTATAACAAAAGTTAAAAATTTGTTCAACAAAAAGATTGTAGAAACTATAAAGTGATGAATACTTACTTTTCAGACCCAACAATGCTAGTAGTATTAATTGTTCAGGATCGACCAAGTGTACATAGTTAATTAGACAAAGTAATTAGTTGAGGTAAGAAACATTTGTAGAATTTGGCCTTTCAAATTTATATATACGTGGGCTAAGCCAGATGCTTTTTTTTGTTTTTTTGTTTTTTGTTACAAGGGTGCACGGCTATGTGAATTAAAATGGTTAGGAGTCTTGCTAATTATGTTTTCTTGCTAATTACACTCACATATATTTTCTTTGTAACAAGTAGTAACAGCCAAACGTTTTACACATCGCGAAGACAATCGAGTTTGTTTTTTAATGAACGGGAAAATAAAAAAAACAATATGGATTTTTCTTTGGGAAGTCCATTTTAAAACTACTCGACCATCTCACGTGTCCTGCTAAATTACAAAACAACATGCAAACATTTTTCACTAAAACGAGTAGATATATATAACTTGGTTATTCGAAAATTTCATGTCCCAACTCGACGAATTTATTTTTAAAACTGTAAGTTATTTAAATGTAAATATGTTTTTGAAAAGTATATTTTGTTATCGTCTTATAGGATTTTTTTGTTGTTGTCTGGATCGCTGTTTCATGCTGACAAAACTTTATTTGTTTTCTTTGTTATATCATTTATATTCTAATTTTTTTGTCCCGTTTTTTTTTGGTTCAAATTTTTATTCAGAATCATTTAATTTATTCAAATGATTATATGAAATATATATGAGAAGGAAACAGAGATTGGATACACGAATTACCTATTTAAAAATTAAAAATCTAATATATTTTTCAAATATTTTAGAAATTATTAAAATTTCTGGATTTTCTAAAGATTACCTAAATATATGTTTCCAAGTTGATCTTTACCAATTTTTTTTGAGAGTTTGGTAAAAGATTTTAGGGAAGAGAGAATTTCGAATTTTCCAAATCTGTCTTCCAAGTCCCAGTTTCTTTCAAATTGTTTTAACTTATACCATTTAAATTTATAAGTACTAGGAACTGCATATATGTGGGTTTATAATAATAAAATTTTCAATTTATTAAAATATTTTTCTAAAACAAATAGAAAATAAAATCAGATAATTGACAAAAAATATATTAAAACACAAAATCTAAATTTAAGATTTATTTATTTTAATTATTGTTTGTTTTCAGTTAAAATATTTAAAATACAGAGTTTTTTTGTAGGTCTTTAGCAATATTAACCCTTTACTTGTAGTTCAACATGTTATCAACTATTTTTTGTTTTCTGTTTTGCTGCGTTAAAAACTTGGATATTCAATTCGAGTCTTTCGATTATATTAACTCTCTATCCAGTAGTTCTTTCTAAACAAACAAAGTTTCTCTTTTTCTCTATATCCATCTCTCATATATTATTTATTTGCTTTCTAGAGAAGTTATGATTTTTAAGTCTCGTGCCAAAAGCTTATCTACATCATTTTCATTGATCCTCTTCCTCATTGAACTCATCATTAGCATCTAGAATTTCATTTTTATATAATCATACATTGCAATTTTTGCATGTAATTTTTTAGAATTTTCTAATTATTGAATACCAAAAATACTTTCGATGTATACAATATTCAGCAAACGAATTTTAAAAGATAAAAATTTGGAATACCGAACAAATCACAGTTGATAAAAAATTAGAATACCGTATAAAATGTTCTAATAATAATAATATAATAAAAGAAAGAAAGTTTTATCTATAAATAAAACTCAAAAAGTATTATTTTGTTTTGTAAATAATTATGAGAGACTTTATGTATTTATATAGATATGGTTAGTATTTTTCTTTTTCTCTTAAGATATTAGTGTTTTAACTTATTTTTCTTTTCCAAATTAAAATATCTTCTTTTAATAACTTTTTTTTCTAAATAATATATATTTTTTTTCTTTTAGAATTATTATTTTAAGTTATTTTCTTTTGTTAAACTGAAATATATCCTCATATTTAATTTTATTTTATTTTTAATTTAATTATAATATATATCAAAATATAATCGATTGATTTGTCACGTGTCGCAATCATGTAAATTACTAATTTTGATGCATCTAACTAAAAAATTTATAAAACTCGAAATTTAATAGCCCATTGAACTTGGACTGAATTATGGGATAAGGCCCATTTTATTATTGTTTAGTTTCTTATTAATTAATTTCTCAGTTTTAGTCATGTCCTTCCTCTTTCCAGCCTACCGAATGCAGATGATGATTCTTCTTGCATTCTCTTTCCCCTAATATCCCAGGCAAATTCATTATGTGAAAATTTTCTTCCATTTTCTCTTCAAATCGCATCTATTTGATCCATATTTCAGATTCCAGATCGTAGAAAAAGGTTAGTTCAATTGCATATTATTGATACGGGTTCTTCGGCACTCTGATTTTTGTATTCGTTTTGGTTCTCTTTTGACCGATGATCGTGTCCTGTTTCGATATTTTCATTTGAGAAATTAACTTGCTTCCGAAAAATTCATCATTGTAAAATCATTTTATTCGTATTAGATTGAACTGGATTTGATCGATTTTTCTAGTTGTTGAAATTGTTGTATTGTATTAATTCTGGAAATTTTACTATAGATCTCTCTCTCTCTTTCCTCATCTTAGCGAATTTCATAGTTAGATCTTAGTTATATTATCTTGTCTGATCATAAATTATAAGTTGTTATTGATGAAAATGAAATGTTTCTTCTGAATCTTCGAAGTATTCGAGATCATTGGCATTAGGTTTCGAAGAGTTGAAGAAAGACATTTCTCATAGAAATTGCTTACTCATATTCAATCGGACTCTGTTCTAAATTGTTTCATGAAGTTCACATATTTCAGGAAATAGTTTTGATTCTCTTGTCTTATAATGTTGTTTCACTAATCAATTGTGTCACTGTGTGTGTAAGTGTTGAGCAAAGTTAAGATATTCTCTGTAGAAGTTTTGAAGAATGACTTTGTTCAAATCAAACTCTGTTTTGATCGTTTCATGAAGTTCACATTTTTTCAGAAATTTGTCTGATTTTCTGTTGTTCCACTAATCAACGGTGTCACTATATCTCTCTGTGTGTGTGTGTAGTCGTTGAAGCAACATTAAAGATGTTCTCTGAAGAAGTTTTGAAGAATGTGTTTCCACTGCTCGAAGGAGAAGATCTTGCATCTTGTATGGGTGTTTGCAAACAGTGGAGAGACATAGCAAGCGATGACTTCTACTGGAAATGCCAATGCGCAAAGAAATGGCCTTCCGTTTGCAAACGCCAAAAGCCTCCCACTGAAACATACTACAAGATGTTTCAAACGTTTAGCAAACGGCGGCTAAACCGCACCCTCCCTCCTCCGAGGCTATCATTCGAGAACCTCGAGTTCTTCATCGACATTTGGACCGAAGATAAACTTGTCTTCTCGGGATTGATACAGGGCCTTGCGCTTGAAACCGGGATCAAACCCTTACCGTCAGGAATCAGCAACGTTCTTAGAGCTGACCTCGAGAGACCTGACTACAAGATGGTTGTTCCCGCTGAGCCAAGGTTCACTATTCCGGTGAACCACACGGTTAGTGTCTCTATGCTTGTGGGAAGGAACGATTCAAATAAGGTTGCTCGGATAATAAACCGGTCTGTGTTTGAGTATATCGACCATTCTTCGTACAGAGCGCTTGCTTTCGAGTATCTAGACTTGTCTCCTTATTACCCTTTCGTCTCTGGTATACGAGCTTGGATCTCTTTGCTTTTCATGGATGTTGAGGATGTGAATGATGGGATCCTCGACGTTTTTGGGATTCAGTTGGATTTCTCTGATGTTGCTGACACTAAAGATGAGATCTTGTGGCTTCTTGATATGCTTGATTGGAAGTGAAAAACAAAGGTTATGACTCTCTAATTGCCATTATAGCTCTCTCTCAGGTTTGTAACTCTGTATAAACACATTTGGTACAGTAGCAGTAATACTTTTACACCATCTTTCTTTTTTCTTGGTTTAAGTATGATTATTTTTTATATATCTAAAAAAAAATTACTTGGCTTTGATTAATTTCTGTTCTTTTCCTCAAATTTAGCTTTTAACCGGAAGTCTTAGACCGGTATTTGAAGCTCTTTTAACCGGATGTGGGAGACCGCCAGACCGGTATTTGTAGAGAGGTTTGTAATCTAGTGCCGTCAAATGTGCGTATAAAAAGAAAACCGTACATACGAGAAAACGGAATAATTTGAACCAAACCTAAACCGGAAATGTCATGTCGAAATAATGGTTCTTGGTCCTCAAAACTCATAAAGCTCTGGTTAAATCTTTAGTTTGAAGTTAAAATCAAAAGCATGATTTCAAATTAGGTAGCATAATAAAGCCTCATTTACTTTTAAATATTTCTTTTCTCATTATAACTTTTGAACTCGATACATATGTTAAGTCTTTTTGTTGTAAGAAATTTAGCTAACAAAACTCAGATTATTTTCCTAAAAGTTAATCCCTCCATTAAAAGTCTGACCAAATCCCCAATTATGTGGTGCCACGTTCATAAAATCCTTAGTAACCCCGTCACTCGTCGTAACCCTGAATGATAAACCTTGTCCGGTCAACACAACATTGGTGGTCCAGTTCTGTCCCCAATTCTTTATCATGGTTATCCATCCGGTTCGGCTTCCTTTAACCTGCATGGCCTTAATATCTCCGGCTCCTCCTACATTGTACGGCAAGACCATCAAGAAATAAGGGTTTCCTTTAGTTTCGAACTTGACACCACCGGTTTTCGCGCATGGAACACGTCTGTATTTAACCGGGACAACCCCTGCTTTGTATTGTGCGATCTTGAGGAACATTGGTTGGGAGAGATCGAAATGTTTCTGTGGTGGGTTGCACCAAACGTCTTGTGTCTTGGTGTAATTAGGTGGACAGAAGTTTGTAGCTGTGATCTTGATGGATCCGGGCAAACACCATTGTGGATCATTCACGCACATGATCTGGTAACAAGCCCCACACGTGTACCCGTTGTTGAAGAGTGCCGTGCTTAATGCGGCTGTGGCTAGACCATAGCCTTGTCTAAATAGATCACCATATCCACAAGCTCCCTCTATTCAATAATATATATAATGAAAAAAGTTAGTATGCAATCATTATTTGGCTTCGAGTGCACTAACGTGGAATGCATTGGAAATTCCGACAATTTTTTTTTATAATCTTTTTAGTTCTTTTCTAATTTCATTTTTATGCATTTTAAACTTTTAAACAAACTCCTTGGTCATTTTTAGAATTTGACAATGGAGATTTCGAAATAGAGTTTTGTTCTTTAAATTTGTAATCTTCAAACAGATTGAATCAATGCCACTAAAGAAACATGCATACTGAATCATTTCAATAATTATATTCCAAAAACTAATAACTGAAGACTTACGTTGAGTGCCTCCACCATGGATGTCACCATAAAATGTGGCGTGTGCGTCAGACCAAGTACTGTCGATTCCGTCTGTTCCAGGTGACTCGGCGACATCATCAGTTGGTGCGTCCGATACAAGATCAATCACCGGTTCGTCGGCTCCATGACCGTAAATCATGGGCACGAACCATATTGCCATTACTATCGTAAAAACATGTGTATACATAATTTTTTGTAAGATTTTCATGATTTTTAATGATACTTTATCAATTAATTTTGGTTAATGATTAATATTAATGGGAATGTAGATATATATAGAGATAGAGAAATGGAGAACTAAAAGTGGTAGTTTATGTAAATATGTTTTTAAATCTCTCAAAATATGCAAATATTTTACTAAATGTAACATAATTTAGTATATTGGTGTTAGTCAATCTGCATCCTCATAATTAGTGTTAGTGTACAGTATCGGTGTTAGTCAATATGCATCATCTCCAAATGTGCATATGCTTTACTCAATGTACAATATTGGTGTTAGTCAATCTGCATCCTCATAATTAGTGAAAACATTGCCAATAGTCTTTTTGAATACTTTTCTAAATTACATTCAAAATATGATCCATTGGAAAGTTTATCATGTAGTTGACCACTAACATTTAAACACGCCTACTAAATTAGTCAATTCAAAGATCTCACAAGAACATTGTAAAGTTCGTGCTGCCAAATTAAAATATATATCCGGTTGTGACAATTAAACTTCACACACTTCAAAAGATTTTACGAGGATATTTAGAAAACTACGGTTAGCAATATATTACAACTTCCAAATATATATTGTAAGGTGTAACAACACAACTATGACAAATGTATATGAATTTTCCATTGTTTAATGACCTTGTGGATGTTTTTCTTCTTGTTGGTCAAAGCTTGTTGATGTTTCTATCTTCTCAAAACTCAAACATAGCAGCAACTTGAGGACCATTGACGAGGGTTTTGAAAAGGTAAGAAGAAGCTAGAAATTTAAGAAGCTGGAAAGAACTTACACGAAGGATTCTGCAAAACAACTATTATTAGAAGATCTTTTAGGTAACTTTCTAGTTCAACCTAATCGAATATGCAACTTCAAGCATACATCTTTGATTCTTCGAATATATAAAAACCCATGATTTTTTTTTTAATCATTATTATAACTTTCGAACTCAACATTTGTAATTCATATAGCACGTAAGACTAAGCTAACAAAACTCAGATTATTTTCCTAAAAGTTAATCTTTCCATCAAAAGTCTGACCAAATCCCCAATTATGTGGTGCCACGTTCATAAAATCCTTAGTAACCCCATCACTCGTCGTAACCCTGAATGATAAACCTTGTCCGGTCAACACAACATTGGTGGTCAAGTGCTGTCCCCAATTCTTCCTCATGGTTATCCATCCGGTTCTGCTTCCTTTAACCTGCATGGCCTTAATATCTCCGGCTCCTCCTACATTGTACGGCAAGACCATCAAGAAATAAGGGTTTCCTTTAGTTTCGAACTTGACACCACCGGTTTTCGAGCAAGGAACACGTCTGTATCTAACCGGGACAACCCCGGCTTTGTACTTGGCGATCCTGAGGAACATTGCAAGGGAGAGATCAAAATGTTTTTGTGGTGGGTTGCACCAAAGGTCTGTGGTTTTGCTGTAATTTGGTGGACAGAAATTTGTAGCTGTGATCTTGATGGATCCGGGCAAACACCATTGTGGATCATGCGCGCACATGACCTCGAAACAAGCCCCGCACGTGTACCCGTTGTTGAAGAGTGCTGTGCTCAACGCCGCCGTGGCTAGACCATAGCCTTGTCTGAATAGATCACCATATCCACAAGCTCCCTCTATGGAAATATATAATGAAAAGTGAGTATGTGATAATTAATAAAGATTATAAAGGTTTGGATTGTTTGTTTACTTTAATTTGTAATTCTATGTTATGATATAGTTTTCCGAAACAAAAAATCCTGTTGAAATATATATATATATATATATATATATATATATATATTGTATTTTCAAAAAAGTCCTTGGTCAATTGTAAATGCAAATTTTGTTAGAATGTTCTATGGGAAAAAGCACGCGTTTTATATATATATATATATATATATATAAAAGAAAAATGTAAACGCAATCGCAAACTTACTTTGAGTCTCTCCACCATGGATGTCACCGTAAAATGTGGCTCGTGCGTCATACCAACCGTTGTTGAATCCGTCAGCTCCAGGTGAGTCGGATGCATCATCAATCGTTGGTGCCTCGGCTACAACACCTGCCATTGGTGACTCGGCTCCTTGACCGTAACTAATGGACACGAACCAAATCGCCATAATCGTCATCAAAACATTCATATAAACCATTTTTTCCAAGAGTTTCATGTATTATATATCTCTTCTTGATGATAGTTTCTGACTTAATTTTTATTAATATCAATTAATGGGAATGTTGATATATATATATATATAGGCAGAGAAATACATTTTCAAATCCTAAATTTTTTCTATGATCCAGTCGTATTCAAATATTTTCAAATTCCATATATGTATATCACAGGTCAAATCCAATTGTGCATCTATATACTTAATAATAATATTGAAAGTTTTGTAGTCAATCGGCATCCTGATAACATTGCCAATTATATTTTCTTAAATAAAAATGTTACATTGTTGTTGATGATAGATTCTAAAAGTATTCTTTGTCTAAACTACATGTAATTAGGTGTTTCTCCGCACCTTGTGCGGAGTTCGATTAAAATTTTTTAAAAATAATAATATTAGTTATTTATAGATGAAAAAATTAAATTATATAATAATTTGAAATCAAAATTATTATATTTGAAAAACACAATTTTCATGAGATATATTAATTTTTCGGCTGCATAAATTAATTTTCATAAGATTTAAGGTTTACTTGTAGCCGTATAAATCAATCTGGTTAATCGAAAATATTAATAGGTTAAACGATCAAATTAAAATTAGTTTAAGAAAATAATTAGGATTAATTTTTTATGATGAATATATTATTTTTTGTGACAAAGCAAAATATATTATTTATATCTTATTTTTAATATCTTTTATATTATCTGATAAAAACTTATAAGTATGCTTTGTTGCATTTATCAAATATGATAAATAATTTTCTTCTTTTGATGTAAATTAGTAGATTATGATTAATAAAATTCAAAGTTTACATTAAAAAAAAATATAGCAATCCAAAATGACCAAAACCAAAGGATCCTTGTTTCAAATCAACTTAATATTAATTAATATATATAGAGTTTTAAAAAGGTTTTTAAATGATTTAGAGTTTTACTTATGATCACATAAATCAATTAGATTAAACAATCAAATTAAAATTAGTTTAATGAAATATTTAGGCTTTATATATATATATATATATATATTCTATTTACTTTATTTTAGTAAACTGTATATTTTTATGATATAAGCTTTAATTTGGAAATTTAGATTTTAAAAAACGAAAATCAATTAAAAGTTAGATTATATTAATTTTTTAATTTCATTAAGGGTAATTAAAGTAAATTCACATAAGGGGCAAAAGGTAATCAACCATCATAACTCTCAACCACATCCCAACTTGCTTCTCAATTAATAATACTAGGCTTTTAACTCGTGCTACGCGCTAGTCTGTATTAATAATTTGATTTAATTTTTTGGCTATTATCTTTTAAATTATCAAAACTATAATATATTTGTCAAAATTTTATTTTGTATAAAAAAATTAAAACATAATATGTAATATTTCCTATTTTTGTTTATAAAATTATAAATCTTATTATGTAAAATCATAGTAATGACACCTAACGAATTATCCAACTTTGATGTGCATATGTTTGATTTAGAAAATGATTTCCTTACTAAATTTTTGGTGTTTTGTTTTGTATCCTTAGGATTTCTATGGTTCTTTTTTTAAAGGTTTATATGTTTAAATATTTAGTTTCTTTATTAAATGTCTCACTAATGTTGTGTACATATACATATATAATATATGATATATGTTGATTCAGATTTACTTTTGTTAGTAAGCTATACTAATCGTGTAAAACTGCTTTCTGCTTCTCCACCAGATCTTCTACGAATTTTAGGTTATATCTCTATTCAGCTTATAAGATCTGTTTTATTTGTAGTCAACTATTTGCTAATATTTATTTTTAAACATGTAAGATGATGTTGAGACTTCACATTATCACTGTTTTTTTTTTTTATCTTTTGTGTGTTTATTCATGTTTTGATTTGAGTATTTGATCTTCATATATTCCCATTTGAATTTGATTAATAACTTTGTTATATTATATTATTTTAATAAAATTTTAGAGGATGTTTCTCATGTGTTGTTCATGTTAACTAAGTTATAAGAAGTAAATATGTATACAAATCAGACTTTATTACTTATTATACTTTGAATGTAAAGTTACTTGTGTAGTATTTCAGTTTGTTAATTTTTCAACCAGATGCAACCAAGGTATTAATCTTTATAAATTTAAATAATATGTTTGATTTAGAAACTTGTATAACCTATTAAAACTTTATATGGTTATTCATAGTCAACACCAATATTTTAGAAATCATGAATGTTTTTGGAACTTTATTTCAAACTAATTTTCTTCTTAGATCTTGTTTTTTGTTATTTTAAATATCTTCAATGGTAATTTTATATTTTATTTTAATTATCTAATTTTCTGCAGGTTTGATATACTTAAAACATATATATTTTTAATTAATCTCTTTTGTTATTGATTTTTCAAATAGTTAGCATATATATTAATCTAATATCTTTTACATAAATGCTTTTACTTTGTTAAATTTACTTTTTAAATTAATTAAAATGCTATTTTGACATGCTATAACTGGTTATTCTAAATTTTAAGTGAACTTCTCTCAAAAGCTTATATCATCATTTGCTTTTTTAGTTGATATTTGTTTGATAGTTAGCCTAAATATCAAGCTAATTTTACTTTATACGATTTTTTCCTTTGATAATTTACCTCTCTTGATATTGATTTTTTTTAACACACCATTGTTTTTAAAATATTGATATTTTTAAGACATAAATTTTTTGTTAGTTAAATATTTTTATATGAATATTTCGAGTAGTTAGTCAGATATCAAGTCAGTATATAATTAAGTATTTTTTTAGAAAATAATATTTTATAAAACTTGATTTTTGTTTTATTTTTTTAGTTAATTAATTTTTTAATATTGATTTCTTAAATAATTAGATTAAATATCAAAATTCTTCCAATTACAATACTCATATAGACAGAACCGAAAAAATGCAAAAAAGAGGCATCTTTTACCCGGTAACGTAGGGTATTTATATTATTTTTGTTAGTTAAGTTTTTTAGTATTATTTAAGTTTTTTATTCTCTTACTTATTATGTTTATATTGATTTTGTTAAATAAATAATATAGATATTAAGTTAATATCCTCTTTTTTGTTAATTTAACTTTTTCGATATAGACTTTCATTTTAATTGTATCGACATATTGTAAGAAATAATTTATGTTTTGGTTTTTGTTAGTTAAACATTTTTTATATTACTTTCTTCAGTAATTAGCAATAAGTACTATTTTTGGTTTGTTAAGATTTTTGTGTTAATTTTTTAAATATTTCCCCAAAAATTATAAGTTTTAGATGACTTTCTTTTTTGATAATTTAAGATGAATTTTTTTTGGTAGTATTGATATTTTTAAATAACAATTTTATATGTTTATATGAAAATTTCATCTTAATAATTTTTCTAAATAAATTAATCATTTAAAATATATATGCTAATTTTTTTTTTCAATTTAACTTTTTCGTTAATGATTTACATATTTGTTTTTGCTAATTTAGTTTTTGTGACAATGTGTTTCCATTTTATTTTCACAATAGATTTAGACTTTTGATAAAAAAATATTTTATTTAGTTAAAAAAATTATCTTTATTTTCCATTATATTATGATAATTTTATATTTTGTATGTTTTAATTTATTTAAATTATTAATAATATTTTTATTTTTTATGTTTAATGAAAAACGCTGATATAGACTAATCAAATAGAGTATATATGTCATATGTGGACGCTCTCATTGGCCTAAGACATCAACATGGATCACAACTAATATATTTTAAGTTAGCAATTCAGATTTTAATTATTTGTCAAGATTAAAATTTTAAAATAATTTAATTATGGTTTTAAATACAGTTTTTAATAATTTTGTTCAATATATATGATTTTTCTTTTATAAACTATTTTTATGTTAATTTACCTTTTTATTGTTAATAGAAAAATAAGATCTATTTTTAAAACACTTTTTTATTAATAACTAACTTAAAATTTAGAAACTTTCCTAATAACAACAAAAACAAAATTGATTAAAATTTAGAAAATTTCCTTATAACAATTAAAACGAATTAATTAATTTCAATATAAAATATATAATTAACTAAAAATAATGATGATGTGTACCAATAGAATTGAACCTTTAAATCCTATGCGGACACTCTTAGAGGCATTTAGCATCAACTTTTATTAGTAACTAAGTATATAACTCGCGCTACGCGCAAGTCTGTATTAATATTTTGGTTTATTTATTTTTTAGCTACCATCTTTAAAAGTATTAAAATTATAATATATTTATAGAAATTTTCATTTATATAAGAGAATTTAATATATAATGTGTAATATATCCTATTTTTATTTATAAAGTTTAAAAAACTATTAGGTAAAATAATAACAATGACACCTATCAAATTATCCAATTTTCACGTATATATACATTTGATTTAGAAAAATATAATCTTGCTAAGATTTTGGTATTATTTTCTGTTTTCCATAGAAATTCTATAGTTCATTTTTTCTTAAAAGTTTATGTGTTCAAATATTTAGTTTTTTTATTGAAAGTCTTATTGATGTTGTGTACCACTGTATATATAATCCATTTATGTTGATTCATATTTAATTTTGTTAGGAAGTTGTAATGATCATGTAAAACCATTTTTTCCTTCTCCATCATGTCTTCCAAGAGTTTTATGTTATTTTTTATTCAGTTTTCATTGTTTTAATTGTTAAATCGAGTTGTTGTAGATTTTTTTAAATTGATAATTGATAATAATTACTTTTTTTAATACATGTATTGTTAATTGTTAATTTTTTATTTAACTTTTAAATTTTTAAACCATATTAACATTTTCTGATTTAATAAATATGTTGATTTGGATCAATCAGATTGAATTTACTTTTTTTTTGTTGGACATAATTTGTTAATTTAACTTTTAATATTTTAATTATACTTAATAATTTTTGGTTTGATTTAAAAGCTGATGTGAACCAATTAAATCAAGTTTTTCCGTCATAATCATACTTAACATTTTT